CGAGTGAAGATAAACAACAAGTGCGAGGTATCATCGTCTTTTCCCGTTCGTTACCAAGACACATGGGGCAGATGAAGTAGAGTTCATCTGTTTCAATTCCCTGTGCATACAAGTTGATAGTGTGGCCTGCACTACAACTGGCACTCAGGAACGTCGTTCCAACTAGAGCTCGGGATCCAAACTCGAGACCTTCAGGTTAGCAGTCAAATTCTCTACCATTCGACCACACCGTCCCTCGTGTAATAGATCTTCCATACGTCTCTTGATTCCTTTGATCTGAATTATTCACAAACACCAAACCCGAACATTGAAAGCATAAGCAGGTATAAGATCAAAAGGAATCCAATACAAATGTATATCACAAATAACAACACAAGAAACATTCAGAGGCGTATCGACCCTTTCCAGCGCCCGGGGCGAACTTTCAGTTTGGCGCCCCCCATATATATATATATATATATATATATATATATATATATATATATATATATATATATATATATATATAGAAGAAGAAGAAGTTTCCCTTTCCAACCTGACGGTCTATGGGGCAAGTGAAGTAGAGTTCACTTGTTTCTGTGACCTCGGCATATGAAGAGATAGTGTGGTCAGCACTATGCCCAGCCGCCTTTACTTCCCTAACGTGAGTTAGGTACCCATCAGAGTTGGGTGGACTCAGGGACGGTCTACTGACTTGAACCCGAGACTTACGGGTTAGCAGTCCAGCTCTCTACCGCTAGACCACTCCGTCGTGTCTTTAGAACAATTTCGATAATAGTAGGCTAATATTGCAATTTTGAATTATCAGTTAGGTTGAATAAAGAAATAATCAGTACAATATACTAATTTTCTTCTCTCTTAAAATGTTGGCAAAGAGTGTCGCTTCCCATCCCTCCGCTCCGACCGTCTGCTATTTTACTGATCGGATAGCGATACAAGAATCCGATATTTTTATTTCCCTTTAATGCAGTGATCCCGGAAATATATAATGCAATCAAGTAAAAGTATCTGATCTATCACGATCAAGTTGAGAGAATCGTAAGAATCGTTCAAAGAACTGGTCGCGTTATTACTTAGCAAAACTGGGTAGTGAAATCGTAAAGTGTTAGCAACCGATCTAGTACAAATCCTGCGATTTTTGTTAGTGAAAAAGCGCCCCACCATCTTGGACAAAAATGATAGAGCGGATTTTACACGTCACTAACTCTTTTTTTATGTTACACAATCGTAAATACGCTTTCGTTCAATGGGTTTCTTTTCTGAGTGATATCGGTTATTTATTCCTTAATCCGTTGTGAATTTTTCCGATTTTAGTCTTCGAAAAAGCGCCCCCTCCCCATCTCGGAAAGCTGGAAAGCGGTTTTTCCAGTCACTGTTTCTTAATGATATACGTTTTACAGTTACACAATCAAAGTAGAATGCAGTTAAATCAGTATGCAAAGGCTCTGAGCCGTTAAATTTCTTTACTTTGACTGTTTATAATTCAAAACTGCATCTTAAAATTAGCTTTTAATTTTTTTTCTAACCCTTTTGGCGCCCCCCTAGGGTCGGCGCCCGGGGCGGCCGCCCTCCCCTAGCTACGCCTCTGGAAACATTTGAAGGAACGATAACAAAAGGCATTCAAAAAATACACAAAAACGTAATATCAAAAAGTAATATAAATTATAATGAATTCATATTTTGCGTATAAAGAAATCGTAGCATGCCAATATGTAAGTTCAGTAGGAATTGCTAAATAATATTTGTTAAAAATTGTTAAAACAGAAATATAAAAGAAATGTACGGAGTGACAAAAAAAGCTACTCTGTAAAATTGTAATATGTATCTATTATGATAATTATATACTGTAAGTACATTTTTTTGAAAACTCAGTTTTCAAATCAAGAAAACAGATAACTGGAATTGACTTATCTATATATATATAAAGCAAAGTGGTCAAGTGCCCGATAGGGCACTTCCCGGCGCCGCAGGCGCGTCAAATTTGGCACGATGGTGCCTTGGGTCGATAGAACACGAGGGACGGTGACGGTTGGCCGAAAAGTCGAAGGAAAGGGGGTCAAAACTGACCTCGACTGACCGGCGCCTAATATGGGCTATATTACGAAAAAAAATTTCCTCCGACGACCCCCCTTGAAATTTTGTGAGGTAGTAGGAGAACGCCTTGGGTTGTCACAAAAAACTCGCCATGTCCGGGAAAAATCGGGAAATGGGTCAAAACTGACCAGTCGTATTTCCCTATATAATCTTTGTATTTTATGGGGAAAACAGAGGGTCATTTCTAAACGGATTTTAGGGCACTTACCCTCTTTACATCTGGCTAAGTTTTGGCATGCTTATAGGTAAATGGCTTGGTCGTAGGGCAGACCTGTCGGTTTGACTAAAAGCCCTCGACGAGGGCTAAAAAGTTACCGCGAGTGAAATTCTCTTTATATAAGCTCTATTGCGAAAAAAAATTTCCACCGACGACCCCCCTTGAAATTTTGTGAGGTGGTAGGAGAACGCCTTGGGTTGTCACAAAAAACTCGCCATGTCCTGGAAAAATCGGGAAATGGGTCAAAACTGACCAGTCGTATTTCCCTATATAATCTTTGTATTTTATGGGGAAAACGGTAATTTCTACACAAATTTTAGGGTACTTACTCTTTGTATAACTGGCTAATTTTTTGCATACACCTCTATAGATGACTGGGCCGTATGGAAAAACTGTTGGTCAGCATCAAAGCCCTCGAAGAGGGCTAAAAATGACTGCGATTGAAATTCTCATTATACGAGATTTCGTCATTTGGTCTATGAACAGGGGCGGTAACTTTTTAATGTAACAATTTTTTAATATTTTGTATACTCTTTTTAAGAAAAAGCAAATATCATAATGTATAGCATTGTTTTAAATGGATATTTTGTTATAAATTAAGTTTTGTATTGCATTGAAATTGTAAAATTAATTGCAAAAGTAATTTAATATTATATTTGATTAATAATTTTTATGAAAGCCCTTTCAGTTCTAATAACCTTTCGAGTAATAAGTTTGCGAATATTCCATCAATTTATGGGCACAATAAAAGTACCCGACTGTATAAATTTAGGCCCTAAGCATTTAACATAACAGCCAATCACCTATTAATTAATCATTCAATTTCTCAACTTTTTTGAAAATCTAAGCGAAGCTAGGAAGTATGCCTAGTAAATTTATAAATTAAGACATATCTAAGCAAACACGTATTCAGTGTTTCTCCCAGATTTTTTCTCCTGGGGAGAGTAACATTTAATATTTCAGGGGGGGGGGGGGGGCGGACATAATTATCCAATGACCAGACACTGGTAAAAGTAAATGCCTTCTATATAATTCCATTTCGTTCGGGAGGGGGTGGATGGGGGCGGTAGACTTTCTTCGTGGGGAGAAGAGATGCCTGGAAGAAACACTGAATGTATTATAAAAGTAAAACAATGTTAAAACAATTTTAAACTACTCAGAGGCGTCGCTAGGTGGGGGCGGGGGGGGGGGGGGGGGGGGAATGCTGATCGAACTGGGTGGCACTATTTAGGGGGTGACACCAAGACAAAAAAAATTTGAAAAATTTATCGATCTAGTAGAAAAAAATCCTTTAATTAAAGATTAATCAGAGTTTAAAAAGTCTTATTAAGTGCAAATCAAAAAGTCCGATATGGGGGACGTGACGTAAACCTGCCAATTATATGAAAACAATTTTACATACAGCTGTGTTACATACAGCTATATATATATATATGTATATATATATATATATGTATATATATATATATATATATATATATATATATATATATATATATATATATATATATATATAAACTGATACTTTTTTTTCGGAGGGGGTGGGGGGGTGAAACTACTTATCATTTCTTATAGCTTGTATAAGAAGTGTCCAGAAAGTTTGGTTATTTCTGTAGACCAGACACCTGTACAGCTGATTCCTTAAATAAGTTTCTACTTCAGGTGGGTATGTATTCAAGTCGACCCTCTCAACAAAGACAGGAACGATAACCTGACCTTGTACATTGAACTCTCGCATGATGGCCAGGTTCATCTCATACTCTCGGTAGTGATCCAAGAAAAGATCTTCAGACAACAAGACCAGCGTTTTTTTGGTGCCAGTTATAGCTCCACTGATGTGTGACACCATGTCCCCACCTGGAAAGTCCACTTCTCCTAAAATGTAAGAGATATTCTTTTCTCTCAAGAATGGGAGGATAATATTTTTAAGAATCTGTCGGATTCTTGGTTCACCCTGTAAGATTAAAACAAGATGTGTAGTAGAATGTCCTACAACCAATAGACTACAAAACAAATATTGTTCTACCTTTTTTGACCTATATAAAGTTTTATTACTTTAACTATAAAAATATGTTTTAAAAACAGTAACTACATAACAACACAGTATAAAAACATAGAGTTCTGATATATAACTTATTCAGCCGTTAGAAAAGCTTTCACGGTTAGCTTAAAAAATAAAATATGTATCCATATATCCTGAACAGTAAAGTTGTGTGCAACCATTTATGCACCACAAACCTTCGAGATGTTTACTTATTTGTTTTATTGTTTAGTATTTTAATTAGATTGTAATTATACAACTTATAACTTCTAATCTCTAAATATTATTATTGATAATTTGACAATGGATATAAAATATAAAGTAGCTGGATCGTTTTTTTTATTAGATCTATTTTTATGACAATATTTTTACCTCATCGTAAGTGATGAAGACATCAACTTGTGGGTTGTAGTTGACCAAACGTCCACCAATGTGCAGCCGCCGTTGACCAATAAAGTAGAGGTACCTCAGCTTCCAGCGGTAATGGAAAAACACGGCCAGAACAAGCAAACACAGGAGATGGGTGAAAAATATCGTCAACACATAGCTGAAGTGTTCTTTGATCAGACAGTTTTTTGTGAACCTTGGAAGTTGTGCGACCATCTCCGTGTAGTTTAAATACGTATTGTCTTCCTTCTTGAACATCATATCGTATACGCGGACAATCAATTGTGTGTTTGTAACCAAGTAATGTAGACTTTGAACGTACGTGCAGATAAATTGAAACTCATTATTAGATAAATGTACTAGAAATTTAGGATTAGTTAATTTTAATCTTTCGATCTCTTTCCACATCTCATCTGATAGACCAGGGAAACGGTTGTACGACAAGTCTAAATATGTCATGTTCAAATGTCTTAGTGTAGATGCTTCAAAAAATGTCAAATAATTTTCTCTTAAATATAAACTTTTAAGATTTTTCGGAAAAGAAAATGTGCTTGGTATATAATCTATTTTACATTCATTCATTCTTAGTTCTTCGAGTTTAGTCAAATCTGTTTTTAGCCAGCTGTCGTCTAAATTTTTTCCACATAGCCCAGTACCACTAGAACCTGACAGTCCTAGAACACGGAGATTTTTCATCCCTTCAAATATGTTATGCTTAGTGTCTTGTATCAAATTATAAGAAAGCTCCAACTCTTCCAAATTAGATAATCCATTGAATTTAGAATAAACTCGTTTTTTGGGTCGATATGTCTTGTTCTGATGTAATCTATAAGGAAAGAAATAACTATAAGCGATTGAACAGGTAGGTGTGTAAGCATAGGAAGATGTATAGTTTACAATGTATAACTTACTTAAAAACAATCTGTTTCTGGTATGGTCTTTTAAAATACAATCTTGTGAGCGAGTTTTTCTGCGAATTTCTCAGAGCATCAATAACGTAATCTACATGATAATCGAAGGCATCAGTGGCTAGTGTCTCCAACGTAGGAGGAACACGTAAATATTCAGTTTCTTCATTGAAAGTAATTGTACTTCCAGCAATTAACATTTTTTATATTCGAGATTCCATAAACAATTCAAAAAAATGTTCTAAATAAAACTGGACATCTAATTCAGGTATTACATTCCACATGGAAAATTCCTGTATATTTTTGAAGAGTTGAATTGAATCGAAAATATTTTGTAAATTTAGGTTTGTTCCATCAAGGTTCAGGCTTGTCAACTTTGATCCCATCACAAGAGATGTGTTGGTAAAGCTTGAGAGTGGACATAATGCCAACGATATAGATATATTTTGCTCTGATTGTATGTTTTCAAAATAATTATCACATAAGTGAGTCAAAAAGCAATGCAAGTTTTTGTGTAAGATTATTGATTGAAGACGTTTTAGCTTCCGAAATCCGGGACCCAGTTTACAGTTAGTACCGGTTACTTTTATTTCTCTCAAGTTAGTCAAAACTGAAAACGCCTTGTCAGGTAAACAACGAGTGGTCTCGGTGTAATTGCATGAATCTGAAATGTAAAATATTAATTTGATTTTAAAGCATTACTGGTTAAGAATCGTGTAAGCAAATAGTTTCGTTAATTATTGCATACTGTAATATCTAATATAATACTCAAACATGTTAAAATTTAAGCTTTTAGTATAGATAAAAAATCACTTCAAACGAAAATAGCCCATATTCTGCTAGCGTCCCACTTATGGGACGCTTGTAAAAAAAATGCTAAAATTTGTTAAAAACTAGATTAAAAAATTATGTTTCATTGTATTTGAAAATGGTTAGACTTTGTGTGTGTTTTGTGAAAAAAATTAATTTAGAAAAATGTTATAGCGCGGGCTTTGCAAGACTTGTAAAAATGGCGGAAAAAGAAAACATGCGCACAGGAAAATGCATATCTTCTAAAATATTAACATTTTAAGTGCAAAATACATTTAAAACTTGTAGCAGTACAATATTTTTATCTGATAAGATTTAAGAGTAACAATTTTTTTAACTACTTCGTTATATTAAGTGTACAACAAGCGTCCCATAAGTGGGACGCTAGCAACGAATGGCCCCATGTAGATTGTTACACAAACGTCACATTTATTGGACACTAGCGAGAAACACAGATGCAGATGTTTAACTTAAATGGTTATTTATAGTAAAACAATTGTTGACTTTGTTGTTAACTGTTGACTTTGGGGTGTTAAGTAGTATTTATAGATATTTAAATATGACCTTGAACTATATTTACTTATATATTATTGTATTAAAAAAACTGAAAATATTGAAAAACTTACATTTTATTTTTAAGTTATCAGAACTACACTAACTGAAGTAGTTAATATCATTGAATATAAACTAATTTAGTATTGCTGTAAATTTACTAGCTCGTGATATTAAAATGATAACAAACCAGAATAATAACAATAGTCACAATTTAGGTGAAGCGATTCAGTCATGGGGGGTTGGTTAACTCTCTTCATGTAAGAGAGCTCAAGCTACATATAGCAGAAATGTGAATTAGCTGTGTACAGTTGTCATGCCCCAATAATATTCCACTCCAAAGGTTCCCAATACCAGTTTTACTTTATTAACATTTACGATACATTTTAAGGAGATTCCTGGTGCTAGATTGGGAGCTGTTTGAATTGTGAGGTGCATATATGGATGAGAGCCATGTACACTCAATACAGGCACACAGAGACGGATCGGGGCTCTAGAAATAAAATGTCTGATGTCCTAATGTATGCCTGTGGGGAGGGGGGAGATAGCGAGGGTAAAAACAGAGAAGATGGCTGGATGACATTTGGGACCGGACCGGATCTTTTTTGCAAATTCACTGAGGACAGAGTTTCTTCCAAACTTCGGAGAGGGGGGGGGGGGCTCTGCCCCAGAACAAAATGGAATGTATATAGAAAACATACTTCTATCAGTGTCCACCCCTTCCCTGGAATTTTAAGTTCCTCCCCCTGAAAATTTCAAGTACGCCCCCAAGAAATTAATTATTTATATTTAATTATATTACATTTTTGATGAATAATGACAATATTTGTGATCATGTGTGTATAATTAGATGCACCAGTCACAGCTTTACTTATTTTCAAGTGTTATTCACTTTGATGGATGCTAGATTGAACGAAAAATAGACGTTTGATCATAATTTCTGCATTTTAGACCATGGTAAGGCTAACCCAATTGAACATTATCGGTATTTTTAGCTGTCCTAAACAATGTAATCAATGGTGTAACAATACAAAATCAGTATACAGCTTAATTTTCGCGTAATTAACCATATTTCGTGATAACATAATTTTTTCTTCAATAAATGTACATGGGGCCGTTCGTTACTAGCGTCCCATTTATGGGACGTTTTTTAAAAAAATCGATATTTCAAAAAGTATTGATTTTATTTTTTAAAAAATCTATAGGCATTCCTTCAATTAGTGCCCAAAAGCTAAATAATATCGAAAAATTATAAAAATGTGATACCTTGGAATAATATGGGATAATCGGATTCTTACTTTACTTTCTAATCAGCAGTGTAGACATCAAAATACGTAAAAAAAATGTAGAATAAACAGTTTTAAACATAATTCTAGTAACTTACTATTTAGCATATATTTCTTAGTTTTGATTATTATGGGCTCAAACGTGTCAAATCGGAGCAGTTTTCGATTTTTTTTAATATTCTCGTATTCGTAGTATAGAGGAAGTATTGTAATCATGTAAACAATAGAAATCGAGATTATCACAATTCACAATACCTCCTTGAGTCGTAAAAACATAGTTTTGCAATTGTGTCCGTATGTCTGTGTGTGTATGTACGTATGTGTGTATACGCGTATGTCTGTACGTCTGTGAATACGATAACTTGAATACCGTTATCGCTAACTTAAAGAAATTCCATATATTATCATAATATCAAATATGTAGTTCTGTATCAACTTTTCAGGTATTCCCAGTAAATGGAAGTGGGACTTATTGCTCTTTTGGTTTTGCAAAAGCATTAACTTAAGTACTGTTTCAGATCTAATTCTCTGCCGTTTGTAAAATTTTGAGTAATTTCCATTGAACGGAAGTAGTAATTTACGCTATTTATGATTTCTAAAAAAGAAACGAATATGAATTTATAAAGTACTAATATTCCGCACTACAGATTTTGTCTGCCGTTCACTTTGTGCGCAATTCTTATTTTCTACGAGATTCTATTCTATTTTATAAAGTTTAAGTAATTAAAAATGGATTTAAAATCATTTCTAGTTGCTATTCCCCGTAGTGTTATATAAGAATACTAGACGACCTAGCCTTTGTAAAAGACTTAATTGTATCGAACAATGACTTGTTTGTTTATTAAGAAGAAAATACCTGTCATTGCCCTGGCATGACCCGGGTTTGGGAAATATATTACTTTTCGAATTAACCCTAAACACAACCAACCAAAAAAAAACGCAAACATAACACAAATGCATCACAAATACAACACAAACGAAAACACACATACAAACATTAAAGCAAACACAAATGTAAACACAAAAACAAACACAAACATAATAATAAACTCAAACAGAAACACAAACCCAAACCAAACCAAAACAAAAAAAACTAACGCAAACCCAAACACAAACTAAAACGCGAACACACAAACGAACACAAACAAAAACGCGGACGCAAACAAAAATGCAAGCAGTAACGCAATTACAAAAGCAAGCAAGCACAAACGCAAACGCAAACTCAAACACAAACCTAAACGCAAACAATAACGCAGAACATAAACACCAACTTATATGCAAACATAAAAGCATGTGCTCACAGAATAGCTCGGGTGCCAAATCGCACCCTGCCGGGGCACCAGCGTAAACACCTGATTAAAATTAGTAGATGACTATAATACCCAATCTTAGTCATAGTCTATCGCACTTTTTTTAAAACGCATTTAGTTTCCACAGCGCTCACGAGTAGGCCGAAGGCGCCAAATAGCACCCTGTCGGGGCGCAGGAGGACGCCCGGATTTGATTTAGTTAAGGACTATAGTAACCTTTCGTATTAATTTTCTATCGCACTGTTTAAAACGAACTTTTGCACCACAGCACTAACAGAATTGCACAGGGCGCCAAATCGAACCTGCTGGGGCGCCGGCAGACGTGCCTGATTCAATTTAGTGAATGACAAAAATACCATCAGCTTGTTCGCAAACCGAACGATAGTAGTTAACTT